GTTCTGCCTGGCACACCCAGCTCTTACCACCTCGGTAGGATACTCTTGGCAGGCTGGACTCTACACCCAGCTCTCCCAGATCTGAGAGAGAGCAGTGAGGGATGCCCTGCAGACTGAGTTAAAGCAAATGGGAGAAGACTTCTGGCAGCATCATAAAAACTGTGAAAGTGAAGGAGGAGTAGTTGACTCTGACTAAAGCATGGACTGCTAGATCTTCAGGGTGAAGACATGTGGGTACCCATTATGGCAGATTAAAATCAATCCCACCTCCTGGACACAAAGTTTTGTTGATAAATTGACTTTGCCAACAAATTGACATGGTTCACTGAAACAACAACAAAAAGAAAATTAACAAGTGCAATAGCCATACGAATGTTTAGGTTTGTGCAAAGCTAAATCCCAAGCCTTTATCAAATAATCTTGGAGACTTTTTTGAAAGCAGACATATTCTGCAGTAGACTGCTGACGCCTACTGCTAGAAGTCCTCTACACTCCTTAGCCCTTCCTGCTGCTGTTTCTGGTCCTAAGTACGTTCCAAAGCACTCTGGGATCTGTCAATATTATCTGTAAACCAACTGACAGGTACCCAGTGCAGACCACAAGCAGACACCTCTTCACGAAGCTCGGAGCTGCCCTGGGATGATGCTGTGAAAAGTAAAAGTTCATCATCTGTGGATGAGTGCCCGGGAGAGGGCTGCTCTGTGATTCCTGGGGCCAAAGGGCTGTTTGAGATTTATCACTCTGGCGCTTATCAGTCGTGAAGTGGCTTTCCTCCGTTTAAACAGCAGCCTGCTCCCCTCCTATGGCTCCATCCTCTGTTGCCAAGGTTCTCTGAATGCTAATCAGGAGACAGAGGACACTCTGATCTTGTAAAGTGCTCCCGGAGCACAATCTGACAAAGGCAGTGTGCAGACATCAGGCCTGGGTTTGGGCACCCCCTCAGTTAAGGTTCAATGTAGAAATGGCCACCACCCACGCTGCATCTGTCTCTGAAAAGAGCAATGGGAGCAGGCAAGTTTGGGTGTTTTATGTTCTATAGAAATGTTAGATGTTTAAAAATAATAACAAAGGCAATAAGCATACCCATGGCTATAAAAAATGAGATTGAAATGTCAATATCAGAGGCCTAGGGATAATATGCATGGGTAAAACGTGATTGTTTGAAAAGCATTTGAGATTGAAAAATAGGAACGTTTGTAGCCAGTGTGAATAATGGCATGGGGTGTTTATTTAGCAAATGAGACAATCAGCCACACTCTATCTGGCAGGTTTATAGTGAAGTTACTGTGGTTTATTAAATAGGAAAGATCAACTTGGAAGTAACAAGTTTTTGCTGAATTTACTGTTACTGTGGACAAATACCACACAGTCAGACCTGCTCCCTAAACTCCATTTCTTAAAGTCTTACACAGAAAAAAAATGTTTTCCCCATGCCTTCTAAGACTCTGAGCCATCGGTAGTATTTACAAGAGCCGTAAAAGACAATCCAACAACAGATTAGTTTACTTGAACACCGGCTCTCTGACCTGTAACTTCTAAGAAAATGAAAGTAACCCACCAACTTCAGTGTCGCAGAATCTCAGAGCTGGAAGCATCTTCAAGAGGTCACAAAGGAAGGGAAATTTGAGGAATGTTCATACACGTGTAAATGAACCTCAGGAGAACAATTCAAGGTCCACATTAGTGAAGTAGGGATTCAGAAGGGACCTGATGCTGGGCAGCAATCAGATGCCATAGCTCCCAGAAGGAAACAAAGATAAGAGGCTGAGCCAGGCTTGCAGAATCAAAGCTGAACTCAAACCCTTTGTGGAAAGCTAGCCTCCTGGGAACGCTGGTCATTTCAACTCGGCACGCCCGCGTTTGAATTCTTTCTCATTAGCACCACATCTGCCTTTAATATTAATTGCTAAGGGCCAAGTTCAGACACAAAAAGCATAGGTATGCGGGTAGATACAACCTGAAGTGTTTATCTCCACAGCACACACTTTCTGCTGCGGGCGCGCACCCGATGTTGCAGCAGCTGTAGGAAGTTGTTTATCTAGCCTCTTGACCTCTGCGGAGTGTGAGGAGATGGTAAAAATCACAGTTTTAAATTATAGGAATCCTCCAGTCATGCAGCGTCTTCTTAGCATGATGAAGGCGTCAGAAGGTCAAGAATGAGTGACTGCGCCCGGATGGCATCTGTGAAAACAGTCTTGGGCCCTGACTCACAGTACTTGGTCCCAGACGCATGTCACCCATTCAACACTCAGAATGGACTTCCTGGGCTCCTATAGTGTGCAGGGCATGGTGAAAAGGCATTAGATAAAAGAATTCTTAATCAGCATCTGGCTCTCCTGACCTTTTCCAAGCATCAACCAATCTTTGCAATTTATTCTTCACATTTTTCAAAATATATTAATGTGCCAGGATGAGAGATGGTTCAAAATCTTCAGGTCTTTTTTTTTAAACTAAGAAAACATAATGTGGGGGGAGTCTAAGGCAAATAAAGAATTTAAAGGAAGATGACAGTTTTCACAGAGAAAAACTGTAACCAAGCTTGAGGACCCCACCATTTCTACTCTGATGGGTTCCCTGCTCCTGACTGCAGGAATTGCACTAACTTGCAAGTGGGACTGATCTATCAACCTAATCACTCACAAGAAATAATAACAATGTCATTAGGGAAGTTTCCAAAACAACCTGGTTCCTGCTTGAAAGTCAATCCCTCAGAAGCATGCTAAGCGTTACTTTTGTTATGACATTTGGATGAAGTCACAAAAGGTCCTTTGGTCTTTCTCTGTCAACGTCAATGTCCTCTGGGGACCCAATGTAGTGATCTCAAAAGACAAAGGGAAACAAGCCAGGGTCTCCAAAGAGGAGGAGGCAATAATAATTTTTAAGAAACCCAGATAGCGTCTCCTTTGGGCCCAGAATAATTAGAAAATATTGTGTTTCTTCCTCCAAAAAGTAAGCTTGCAACCAAAATCAGAATGTATCTCTGAATCATGTTAATTGATCTGGCATATTCTTAACCTGATAAAATATCTGTAAACTAAGCTATTCACCTTAAGCTGTATCTAGCTCTGCAAACTACATGCATAACGATAGGTTCTCTGGAATCTGAGGTAGAAGAGCTGGAATAAAATTCTATTTCTACTTGACACTGTTCATTCATTGTTAGTATCATGTGCATACACATGTGCACACATGCATATATTTATATGTGCATGTTCTGTTTCCAGGAATACCAAGATTGACATATATGGCCCTTGCCTTCAAGGATGTCTTAATCTGTATTTCAGAGCTAGCTCATTTGACATGGTTTTCAGCAGTGATTTTTCTATAATAAGAAGCCATTTGTCCACCAGGCAGTGGTATATGGCAGGAGATATAAAATCTGAAATGTTTCTCATTCTTTGGTTACCAAATAACTGAAGTTGGGCATACAACACTCTAGACCTCAACACTTCACTGTTGTTTTGACTTGCCTTGGAGAGCTGACATAAGAGCCTTCCAAAATACTAATAATAACTGTGAATTCTATTGCAACAACAACCTGTTAAGCTGATTTCTCTGGCCATGGAAATTACAGATGTATGGAGTTTGAAGGAATTTCTACAGAAGGACTAAAAGAAATGTGAAAATAGTTACAGATGCTAAGGAAGGACGGCGCTTATTAAAGCATGTAAAAACTATGAGCTGGAGATGCCTTTGGTGCTCACTGTAGAACACTACATCCAAATGTCCCCCTCACCCATTTCAGAGCCACAGCAGGTCATGGTGGACAAGCCATGCTAACAGTCAGCGGTAAACAATCAAAATCGCTTTCTGAAAACTTTGTTAAGATTTCTGCGAGAGTCAACTCATGGAAATGAGTATCACCAACTGCAGCAGCAATGACAGTCACAGACAGATGTCCATAAGTGCAGTAAGTGTACTGTGAGTGATGTTAGAAAAAGACATAGCTGAGCTGAGTTGACACCTTAAGTAAAACATCACAGCTAGGAGATTGTCTTTTAAGCAAACTATTATGGCTTAGAGACAGCCTGAGAGTTTCTTGGGGGCTTACTACTTGATACTTGGTCTTCATACTGGTTGGATCCTTAAAAAGGGGAGCCTAGTGGGAGGTCTTCAGGTCATTGGAGGCACTCACAAGATGGATTAAAGTTCTTTGGGACTCCTGAGCTGACTCTCATGAGACAGGTTGTTCTAAAAGCCTGAGTTCAGCCCCTGAATTGTTCTCCGGTGTCTGTCTGATCAAATGTTCTCTCCCTGTTGTACATGCTCGGAGGTGTGATACCTTCTGCTCTAAGGCCTTCAGCAAAGCTGAGCTGAGGCTGCAATGCCTTCAGTGCCCACAATTGGACATTAAGTATGTCTTTCTTTTGACAGCAATTTCCAGGCCAGACTAGAATGCTAGTCATCTAATTACACCAATAAAAGACTTTGGGGACAGTTCAAAGTCAAAGTCATTTGCCCCAAAGTTGAAACTAGCCCACCTTCGAGACTCTCTTAAAGAACATGTTACTGAAGACCACCACAAGGGAACTGTTTCAGAAACACTTCCAAGTGTCAGTATCACCATGTTTAGCCTTCTCAAAGGTAAAATATCCAAAAGAAACTATCCACTTCCTTGTAGATGTAAAAGTGAGGGTTGTTGATAGTTCATCCATCCTCAGGACCAAGTAGCAACACAAGGTGGTGGTGGTGGTGATTTGACAAGAAAGAGCATTACGATGAAAAATATAATGATCTCAGTCATGTGTTTACCACAGGAAAAAATAGCTACAAGAATCTGCTGAAATAAGTTACGGCGTTAATTGAGAATACTGTATTACCTCAGTGGTGTAAGCCAGGGCAGGAAACAAGGGGTCAGTTTTCAAATGATAGAAATTCCTAAAACCTCATGCAACATTTTGTGTGCGCTAGTTTGCTTTTCTAACAGAGGCCATAACGTTGGTACAGTATGGTGAAACTCAAAATAAAAAGAAGGTTAAGAAGTCATGGTTACGGTAGCGGCGCACGAGCGGGCCGGGCGGGCGGCCGAGAAGTTTTCCCAGAGATAACTTCACCAAGATGTCCAGTGATAGGCAGAGGTCGGATGATGAGAGTCCCAGCACCAGCAGTGGCAGTTCAGATGCCGACCAGCGAGACCCTGCAGCTCCAGAGCCTGAGGAACAGGAAGAGAGAAAACCTTCTGCCACCCAGCAGAAGAAGAACACCAAACTTTCGAGCAAAACGACTGCTAAGTTATCCACTAGTGCGAAAAGAATTCAGAAGGAACTAGCTGAAATCACCCTTGATCCTCCTCCCAACTGCAGTGCTGGTCCTAAAGGAGATAACATTTATGAATGGAGGTCAACTATACTTGGTCCACCAGGTTCTGTATATGAAGGTGGTGTTTTTTTTCTGGATATCACATTTTCTTCAGATTATCCATTTAAGCCACCAAAGGTTACCTTCCGAACCAGAATCTATCACTGCAACATCAACAGTCAGGGAGTCATCTGCCTGGATATTCTAAAAGACAACTGGAGTCCTGCTTTGACTATTTCAAAGGTTTTGCTCTCAATTTGTTCCCTTTTGACGGACTGCAACCCTGCGGATCCTCTGGTTGGAAGCATAGCAACTCAGTATTTGACCAACAGAGCAGAACATGACAGGATAGACAGACAGTGGACCAAGAGATACGCAACATAATTCTCATGATTTGTATGCAGTGTGAAGGAGCAGAAGGCCTCTTCCCATTGTGCTGCGGATCTTTATAGCCTTTACAATACGGACTTCTGTGTATATGTTATACTGATTCTACTCTCTGCCTTTATCCTTTGGAGACTGGGAGACTCCCCCAAAAGGTAAATGCTATCAAGAGTAGAACTTTGTAGCTGTAGATTAGTTACGTTTAAAATGCCTACTTGCAAGTCTTGCTTCTTTGGGATATCAAAATGTATTTTGTGATGTACTAAGGATACTGGTCCTGAAGTCTACCAAATATTATAGTGCATTTTAGCCTAATTCATTATCTGTATGAAGTTATAAAAGTAGCTGTAGATGACTAGGAATTATGTCATTTGTATTAAGCCCAGATCTATTTCTGAGTATGTGGTTCATGCTGTTGTGAAAATGTTTTACCTTTTACCTTTGTCGGTTTGTAATGAGAGGATTTCCTTTTACCCCTTGTAGCTCAGAGAGCACTGATGTATCATCTCAAACACAATAAACATGCTCCTGAAGGCAAAAAAAAAAAAAGAAGTCATGGTTACAATAATTGGTTCAATGGGAACAAATCAAAGTGTTAAAGTCATATTTCTGAATAAAGAGGTCCAGTGTTAAACGGTAAGCACCAAGCACATACACTGTTTAATGTACCTCTGTGTATACTTGGTAATACTGGGAAATATATGCAATGATGTATGCAGGAGTGTTCTCTGACCCCTGAGATTAAGCATAACTGTTTCACTGTCAATATTCTGCTTTGCTGTGGAATTATCTGTATTTGCTCCACTTTCTACAATGTTTGTACTTTTTTTTTTACGAAAGAGAAAAGAGTAAGGAAAGTTGAAGTTGCAAGTACAACATTGTAGAAGGGTTTGTTAATCCAACCTCAGCAGAACTCAGAATACAAAGGTTCTAACTCACATCAATTGGTCTGTTTGTTTTTAATAACAGCTGGCACCGTGACTAGAATGATGCTCAGAAACTGCTCAGTGGTAATGGAAACTGCCTGATAAACTGATGACCAGAGCTCCAGGCCCAGAACACACATGGCACAGGTCTATGATCTCATCCCCAGAACACACATGGCACAGGTCTATAATCCCAAACCAGAACACACAGTGTACAGGCCTATGATCCCAGCACTTGAGAAGTGAAGGCAGGAGAGCTCAGAACTCAAGGCCAGCTTGGGCTACATAATGAGGTCCAGGCCAGTCAGGATCTGCAAAGTGAGACCCTGCCTCAAAAGTACACACACACACACACACACACACACGCATAAATGCATATATCTATAAATATATGTTCTAATCACAATGATTAATTCAAAAAAATCTTTTAGCAAATTACCAAGTCAGAAATCTATTGTTCAAAAAATGTATACTTCCAGAGCTTTATTTAAAATTTGTAATCTTATACCATCTCAGATCCCGGAGAGTTCAAAGATACCAATTACTCATGGCAAAGACACAACAGAAGCTCACTGACACCCACAGGAAGACTTCCTATGAGCTAAGATTCAGGGTCTGCTTACATCTAGGCTTCTGTCCAAGAAACTTGGCTTCTTTGCCCCTTTCTCTCAGATATGAAAGAAAACCCATAAGATCAGAGGCTTTATCCCCCAGAAGTAGAGAGGGAAGGGAGAGAAGTCAAAACCATGGAAGCTACATTGACTCTTAAGACATAGGCAAACAGAACTTCTGGAAGGCCTCCACTTGATGGACTGAAGAGGACAGAAAGGGTTTAAGCAATCAAGAGGATTAACAGAAGTCTTCCCTTTCATCATCAAGCAGTGTGTGGGGGGGGGTGAGGAAGAGAGAGAGAGAGAGAGAGAGAGAACGTTAGTGTGTGAGAAGTGTGTGCATGGGAGTAAGGGTGAGCGTGCATGGGTGTGAGAATGTGTTCGTGTGTGAGTGTTGGTCAGAGTAGAGTATGTGTCTGCATGTGAGTGTGTGTGTGAGAATGTGTATGGATGTTAATGTGTCTAGTGGATGTGAGTGTGAGTCTTGTGTGAGTGTGTACCAAGTGTGCATTTGAGTGTATATATATATGTAGAAGGAATGTATATGTGAATGTGTGTTGATATGTGTGAATATCTACATGTGAGTATGAGTGTGAATCTGAATGTGTGTGAATGAATGTGAGTTTGTGTGTCTGTCAATGTGTAAATGTATAGTTAGTTATATGTGTATTTGTGTTGTGTGTAGATGAGTGTATGGAGTAATTCTCTGTGTGTGTGTATGTGAGTGTGCTGGTGAGTGTTTCAGTGTATAGGTGTATGTGCTTGAGTATATCTTAGTGTGTGTGAGTGTCTAAGTATATGGGTGTGTGTGCTTGAGTGGGTTTGAGTGTATATGGGTAAGTGGCAAGGAGACTGTGAATGTGTGTATATGAGATTATGACTGAGTATATTTGTGTATATGTAAGTATATGAGTATAAATATTCTTTGTATGTATTTAAGAATGTGTATGTGTGTATGTGTCTAAGTGTGTGTGTGAGTGTGTATGAGTGTGTGATGATATGAGTGTATGTCGGTGTTTATGTGTATGCTTGAATGTGTTTGTGAGCATGTGAGTATGTTTGAAAGTGTATGTGAATAGTGTATATTTGAGTTTGTATGTGTGTTATGTGAGTTGTTAGTACATCGGTGTGTGTGCATTAATGTAAATGTGTGTGTGTGTGTTCTATGGCAGGCTGCACTGCACTAAAGTGTTGAACATCTGAAAAAATCCTGCCACAAGCACCAGGCTTGATTCCTATTAACTGAGATCCAGTATGAAAATACATTTTTTTCTGCTCTAACCTGATGGGTCAGATGGCAGAATTCACTTCTAGATTACTAGGATTTAGAATTCTTTCATGTACAAAATAATGACCTAAACTAGATAGTCTCCAGTGCCTTGAAAGAAAGAAAGAAAGGAAGGAAGAAAGAGAAAGGAAAGTAAGAAAGATCAAGCAATCAAAATCCAAAGGAAATAATGCAAGATGTCCAGCTGCACCCTCACCCCTGCCTCATTCCCAGGCACAGAAGAATTCCAAACATGTTGGGCTTGGTGGTGCAGCCTGTAAGGAAGAACCAAGGCCAGAAGATAGAGTTCCAGGTCAGCATGAGCTTCATAGCAAGACTGGGTCATAAAAAGTCAGAATGGGGGCTTGGGATAGAGTGCTTGCCTAGCAAGCTCAAGGCCCTGGGTTCGTTCCTTACCTCCTGCAGAAAAAATAAAAAATCCAAACGCACATCACTTAACCACCTCTCCCAGACTCTGTCCTGGATGGCAGAAAAAAAAGCACAAGTAGAGAGACGGATTAGGTGTGCAGGGCACCACTCTGAGTACTGAGGTGTTCAGGCCATGTCCTTGACGTGTAAGTATGAGCACAGAGGAGATGAGGTTAGAGTTGGTTCCAGTACATTTCAGTCCCAGTTACTGTCCCCAGCATTAACATAGCCACGGGAGTCAGAAAGGCAGAAGAAAACACTGTGGAGGACAGCTCATTCTGCCTAGCGTATCGACAACCCCCAATGGCTTCCTTTTATGGAAAATGGCAGACTACCCTGACCACAACAAGTCATTAAGAAACCACAGAGGACAACTGAAGAGTCAGCTTTCATTTTCATCCCAGTGACCCCCATGCTTGTCATCATTATTAAGACATCAATTTCCTGTTCGCTTCCCTCTGCCCTTTAAGTAAGGAAAACCAACTCCCTGGAGGAGATGAGAGGGAAAACAACACGGATAAAGCATCTGAAGCTGAAACAAAAATGGATGAATAGAGTCTCGAATTTCTCCACCCCCACCCCGAATGACAATCACCTCAACTGAGAAACTGAAAAACTGTGGCACTTAGAACAAGGCAGGTCTGCCACAAACTGCGCATGACTCAGCTTCAGGGACCTGGTAGATAAGGACTCATTGAAGAATGTAAAACAAAAAACAAGAAAGAATGAGAATAATTGATATTTTAGGAAAAACTGAGCTTGATTTCACTAAACCACTAATTTCAATAATTATCATTGTAGTCAACATTTAATCACGGCTTAGTAAACAAATGCCAGGCCCCAAACTAGATTCTAGCTGCTGATCACTGTATTTAATTCTCAAAAGAATCCTTGGAGGGGTGGGGAATGGCCGTGTCCTTCTGACAGTTAAAGACACCTGGACACATCGTGGCTCCAGTGGCCAGGAAGTCCTAGAGTCCAGCAGCAGAGTACCAGGCTGCCCTGGAGCCTTCGAGTCTAGAAAGACTATTCCAGTTGTCTATAAGGCTGCGTGAAATCTGTCCTAAAACTCAGTGACTCAAGGCTTTCATGTGTTCTCTCTCATGCTACTGCCATTTTTGCTCATGCTGTTTCTGCCGATTTAAGTCAGGCGATTCATGAGCCAAAAGCTATGTAGGACCTGATTGGGTTGAATGTCTAAGCAGGCAAACCCACACAACCTCCAGGTGAGTCTGGCTATCAGCTGGAAGCTCAGGGCAAGCGGTGGATGAGACATGCATGTTACCTGGACCTCTCACATAATGACATCCGGATTCCAAGAGAGCATTCTGAGAAGACAAGGACCCTGACAGCAAGCATCCCAGGAGACCCAGGCAGATGTGGCAAGGCTTCTTAGACTTCTGAACATCATGACCATTGAATTTCCACCTGGGCAACAGTGTACACAGGTATAGCCTGACTCAAGAGGAGGGGGATATACAGGGTGTGGTATGCAGGAGTTGGGGGATTCAACTTTAAATACTAACTACACAGTCATTTCTATGAAGTATAAATATTTATGCACCACTCTGGGCAAAAGCAGGGGGGAGGGGAGAGAGCTACGGAAATGTAGAGAAAAGGGGGGAGTTGGGGAAGACTAGCAAGCTGCATTAGGTAGTAGATGTAAAAACAGTAGAAGCAAACCCAGGTTCTAAACACGCGTTTAAACTTTGTTCTAGCTTTTCAGCATAAGTCCTGAACACCCCTGCATCCTCCTCAAATCCCTGCCCGGAAAACAGGTCCTCTAGAGTCCTCAAAGATGTGTTGCAGGTGACTTCTTTTTTGCTTGCTTCATTGAGGCATGATTCGGAAGATGGTGGGAGGATTTGGACTCCAATGGGCCTAAATTTGAACCCAGAGTCTAACAGTAGTCAAAGACCCAAGACAGCATTTAAAAAAATCTTATTGTAAGTTTTAAAATTATTTTAAATTAGCACACCAGTGTCACTGTGATGTTCTCATTAGTATGCATCATTATACACTTTGCCCCAAATGACTCAATACTCAACTTCTATAACATTCTATTTCCTCATCTGAATTACATGAACAATAAAAATAGCTGCATCTAAAATGCAGTGAGTATGCATCTGTCCATGTCACTGACATACAATCACAATGTGTTTAATTCAAGTCATAGTCTCTAATGTTCCCATACCTAATAGGAAAAAAAAACTTAAGTCCCCTTTATTTTAAGAAGAGGGAATCAGATAACCTGAAGCTGGAGTTACAGGCGATTGTGAGCCACTCAACACGAGTG